GACATGTCAGCCTGGAGAGATTTACTTGGTGGGGTTATATGGAGCCTCTACAGCCTGGAGACATTTGTGATTCTGACATGGCTGATGTTGGCACCTGTGCCACAGGCTTCCTCCTAATCCACATAGCAAAGGAGACAGGTGACCTGTTCCTGAAGCAACTCTAAGAGGAATAGGACACGTGTAGACTCTGAAAGTGAGTCATGTGACTCACTGATATTATAGCCAATGGACTAACAATGCATTCTCCCCAACCATGATCTAAGGATCAGTTTCTGAAAATTCATATCCCTTCCCACATCAAGTACTTATTGAGTGTTTACTGTGTGAAGGCTCCGGCGGCATCGTGATGAACAGAAAAGATGCTTCACTTGCCAACACAGCCTGGAGGGAAAGGCAGACGAGGCAAAAGGAAGCTGTGCTACAGTGAGACAAGCACCATGCCAGAATGCCATGGGACAGATAGGATGACAGTCACTGCAGGCCCAGGAACTCCGGGAGTCTTTGCACAGGTGTGGACAAACATTTCTCCTTCTCCTTTCTATTTCATCCTGACTACCGGTTATTTATTAGACACTGTCCTAAAAGTTCAGCAGAGTTTGCTCTGTACTCCTGAGACTCTTTCCAGGGGCTCCTTCACAAACATGGAAGTACAGCGTATATTCTCCCACTCCTAATGCTTTCATTTTCTATTCCCTTAGTCCCACAGCTTTGTTCATGTCCAAAGTCCCTCGTTGTCCCACCCTGAACTCTCCCTTTAGTCTCAAAATTACTGGAGTTTACAGCTCTGGCCTTCCCTGCTTTGAAGCTGCTCTTTTCTCAGGACCTTGCAAAGAATACACATCGCAAATTCTTCTTACATTTCTTATCCTCTGCTATCGGTTGCATTGTATCTCCCTAAAAGATATGTGCAAGTTATAACACTGGCAGCTCTGGCTGTGACTATATTTGGAAATCAGGTTTTTGGAGAGATATTCAAATTGAGCTCATAATAGATATGCGGGCCCTTAATTCAATGTTCTTTGTCCTTGAGGGAAAAGGAAAATTTGAACACTTCGACAAATATTTAGGGAAAAAGTCATGAAAAAGTAGGGATGGAATAACTGCCTGGAGGCTGAGGAATGGCGAGGACAGCCAGCAGCTGTTGGCTAGGAAAGAGCTAGCAAGGCTCTTTTGGCAGAACCCAGAGAGAGAGCACAACCATGCTGGCAGCTTGATCTTGGATTTTCAGCCTCCAGGATAATGAAGAAATTAATTCCTACTGGCTTAAGTCATCAGTTTGATATTTTGTTGTGGAGCCCTTCCTGAACGTATTTTCTTGTAACATCAAATGAAAATTTAATCCATGGAATTTCAGGCAGTGCAGGCCCTTGTCTTGGCAACACATTGCCATCCACTGACCTTGATAAATCCCTTGATGATTAGCAAAAACAGGCTGCTCCATCACAGTTGAGTGGTCAAGGTAAGCAAGTGTCTAAGAGCTTCCCAAACCTCAGAATAAGTAATTGCTAAATGAATTCTCTCCTTTAAGAATCTGAATTAAGGCATTGGTATTGTTGCCTAGTGTCTTGAACTTCTACCTGCAATTCCAGCATCCCTTATGGGTGCTGGTTCAAGTGCTGGCTGCTCCAACTCTAAACCAGCTTTCAGCTAATGCAGCTGGAAAAGTAGGGAAATATGGTCCAAGTACCTAAATCCTTGAAACCACGTGAGAGACACAGAAGAAGTTCTTGTCTCCTTGCCTTTGGCCCGGCCCAGCCATCGCGGTCATTTGGAGAGTGAACCAGTGGATGGAAGATTGAGCTATTTCTCTCTCTGTGTCTGTCTCTCTGACCTCTCTCTCTTTCTAACTGTAACTTCCAAATAAAAAGAAATAAGTCTTTATTAAAGATCCATAGGTGTGGAAGAATAAAAGGGAGGATCATAAAGTCAGTTACCACCCACATTGTGACTGCCAGGGTCAGCACAATTTAATATGGATTCTGTTAATCCAAGAATTATTAGGCATTGTTGAAGTGATTTATGGAGTCCAATCACTTCTGCTGTCACCTTATGAACCATTTTTTCCAACTATACTTATTTATTTGATCATTTGTTTCAACAAGCACTTTCTTTTAGATTTTCACATGTGTCAGAAATGTATCTCAAATATGATGGAAACACAGAGAGCAATATGCCTGAGTCCATAGTCATGGAAAGGGAAGGCAATTGACTAGGAGAAATAAGACTTTTTAGGCCCATTTGATTAAAATCTTTCTTTTGCTGCTACATGCTAAGCCCCTTTAACCATGGAACAAATCTTTCAGGCTTGTTCATACATTCAAAATGTATTTGGAGAATAAGAAAGTATGTCACCCAAAAGAAATCAAAAAGCTCTCAAGGAGATTGCAAAGGCAAGGCTTTGTCTTAGCTAGAAAAATTAGACCACCAAAACTGATATTGGCATTTCCAGCTTGTATCCTCATTCCAAGTTTACAAATAAGGAAGCTGCCACAGAGAGAAACACAACAGAGTGAAAGCTGATTTTTTTTCCTGCTGAAATCTATACCCTGAAGTCCTAAGATCCGGTATCTCCAAACATGACTGTATTTGGCAATAGGGTCCTCAAAAAGGTAACAGAGCTCAAATGGGGTCAAGTGCAGGTTTGGGGGGGCTCTAATACAACTTAACTGGTGTCCTTACAAGAATAGGAAGTTAAGATGCACATGCAGAAAAAAGATGGCTCATGGGAAGCTGAAGGGTGAAGATGACCACTTATAATCCAAAGACAAAGGCCTCTGATGAAATCACCCCTGCTAATACCTTAATCTTGAACTTGGGAATTCTAACCTCTAGAAGTACAACAAATATGTTTCTATTGTTTAGGACACCTGGTCTGCAGTGTTTTGTTATGGCAATCCTAGGAAGTTAATACACACAGAAAGAGCTGGCAATGCCTGACTCCAATTCAGGCTGAATCTCTGGCCTTTTGCAAGGATTGATCCATTCAATCTCTCCCACACCCATGCCCAAAGATATACAGATAGATAGCCCATATATAATGCTTACTATTTGAAGGTCCTACTCCATGTATTTTACATACATTAGCTCAATCCAATTCCTCAACAGCACTGTGAAGCAAGCATTGCTAATGTCCCATCTTCACAAATGAGGACACTGAAGTACAAAAAGACTTAGTAACTTGCCCAGACACATAGTCACTAATTACTGGACCCAGGGTTCAGGCCAGGCAGTCAGTTACAGAAGCCAGAAGCATACTTATGAAATTATGCTATTCTACTGGAGTATATCTAAAAGCCCAAGGTATTTTCCAATCTGAGAATGAAGGGTGCCACTTAGAGTTATAATTGGATTTGCTTTCATACTGGCAATAGACATGGATCTAACACAGCTTATTGGAGGCAGACAACAAATGAAAAGAAGGGAATCAGGAGCCATCCTAAACAATAAGGTGTTAGGATTTGTTAGTTCCAGAAGGTTCCAATGTATTACGATATCATTACAGCTTAACAGATTTCAAGCCTCTATTAAGTTTAATAACATCTAAATCCATCCTTGAAAATAGAAGACCCAAACAACTTTGGTTAAAACAATGATAAGATGTACCTGTTTCTTCTTTGGAGAGATGGGGGTAAACAATACTCAGCTTGTGGGTGAGACATAATGGTTGCAAAACACCTTCATAGAGGCTGACACACAGTAGGTGATGGATCATCGGAGCTCTGCTTAGCCAAGCAACGTCGCCACACCCAAACATTTCCTTCCCGGTAAAACCTTGCCTAAATGCCTCATTCTAGTCTCTCTGAATTAATTACTCTTTCCTCTGCTCCTTAAAAGAAGTTGCTTGCACAGCAACATCACAGCAATTTGTCCTTGTTTTTATGGAGGTTGATGGCTTCCTGAACATCCACCCATCTGCTCTACACAGTGTGCTGAGCACTTGCCACGTCGCACTGCTGCTCAAAGACAAACACAACATGGTTCTTATCCTCAAAGAGCTTGGGCTTCCATGCAAGCAGGACTGTTGAGCCCAACAGTCCAGAGCAATAAAATAACAACATATTTGTATTGAAAACCTAGAATTTCATTGGATTTCTAGACACTTTAAGGCTAATATTACTTGTATCATGATATCGTAACATTTTCCATCTTTTGTTTCCCAATTAACCTTTTCAATTCTTAACCTGGTTTTATTTGGCCAAAGAAAAAACAAACAAACAAACAGACAAAAAACAACAATTAACAGTAAAGTTTCACTGTTTTCCTAGGGACTGAGGCTATAGAGCCCCGACTACAAAATTTATTCTTGCTTCATAGAGTTTCAGACTTTGCAAGGCTTACCTGTTAGCTCCTCTAGCAGTGTAACAAATGCTGTGAGGCTTTTCAAGGCCTTTCAAGTAAAGACTTTGTCAAATGTCCATCTAGTCTATGCTGTGAAACTTGTGTACAGGGCCGGAGCATCAGAGAATTCTGAACAAGATAACCCAGAGAGTGCCACATGGTTTAGCAGATAACACGTTTCGCCAAGCACTGGACTCAGTGGCTTTATAAATCCTTCTCAACCATCCTAATAATTCTGTTTTTTTTTTTTTTTCTCTCTTACACCCATGAACCCAACGGGCTAACACATTTTGCAAGGCTATGTAGCTGCTCAGTTGCCCAGTCCACACGTGCTCTCAGTAGACGGTTGCTGATGTTGACACAACCGCCTTGTTCTGTCAGAGCGTGTTCTCGCCGTGACCTGGAGCCAGACAGAAGCTAGCTACACTTCAGAGTCGGGGCTGCGGTGCGTGAGCGCACTGCGGGGCGGGCCGGGGGCGGGGCCTCCGGCTGGCACTTCCCCCACGACCCACCCAGGCGGCGAGAAAGGCCCGCCTCCTGCCGAAGGTGCTCGGGGATTGGCTCACTGCGACGATTGACGGCGCGGAGCGTGCGCTGGGGCCGAGGCGGCGGAGGCGGAGGAGGCGCGAGCAGGAAGTGAGAGTAGAGGCGGCCCTGGGCGGGCTGGCAGGCGTGCCGCGGCCGCCAGTTTGCCAAGTCGGCTGCCGACGAGATGGAAGGACCGGGACTGAACTCACAGGTGAGTGTGGCTTCGGCTGTGAGGAGCCGAGGGGACGTCGAGGGCGGCGGGCGGCGGGCGCCCGGGCCAGGGTGCGTGGGGGGGCGCCTGCACACTCCGTGGCCGACGCTGGGAAGCCGAGGCCGACCAGCGGAGGGTCCTCCGTGCCCAGGCCAGGGCGCCCCCTGGGACTGGTGCCCGGCAGGGCAGGCTGTGGGGGCCTCTCGGGGAGGGAGCTGTTCCTAGGAGACCTGTCAGGTGATACACCTGCTTACAACTAGCCAGACTTGACCTTGGTATGGAGTCTGAGCGCGTCTTTCTCGGTCCAGGCGTCTTGGCTGCCGTCCTTGCCCCACACATCCCTGGTGTAGCTCTCTCACATCCTAGCTGTTTGTTTGGCCTGGTGGAAGGGGAGGTTTGTGATGGCCTTCAAAGGACTCTGTTCTGTGGTGGAGGAATTAAAAGTAGATACTAGATACGAAAACAGAAGCTGTGTGTGTTTCTGTGAAAGAGAGAGCGAGCGAGGGAGAGAGAGGAGAAATGAGAATGTTAGCTGGAAGAGAAGAATTTTGTCCATAAGAATTTTTCCATAAGGGCTTTTCCCAGTGGCTAGAGTGCTGACTGGATGACCACTTCATATTTGTTGAATAAATGAAACATTTCCAAATTCAGCCAGTTGTAGTGAGCACTTGGGGGCATACCAGGTGCGTGTGTGTGCATTATTTTACCCCAGAATCAAAGCATTCTTGAGAGAGAATTCATCCCCATGTACAGACTAACAAAAAAAAAAAAAAAAAAAATCGGAGGCTGTTGCTGGTGTGAATGGGTTAGCTCATTGATCTTCAAGTAGTTTGAAATGATTGAAGTACTTGGACTCCCAAAAGGTTCTTCAGTCTTGGGAGTGTTCCTCTGGCTTTCACTTTTCCAGTGAAGGCTTAAGTGACACCAGTTGTGTGGGGGAAGTAATAAAAGTGTTCTTACTGTGTGTTGTACCTTTTAAGCAAAGAAGAAAAAATGGTTTTCTGGTAAACTAGAAGCTGAGTATAGAATCTTCCCGTGGAAACTGTGTGTTGTTCTTTTTCTCAGAGCCTCAAGGAAAACTAATAGGACTAAGTATCATGTCATAATTACTCTATTGCAAAAGCCTTCAAGGGCCTCAGGTGCACTACCTCACACTGAAGGGAAGACAGCTGTGCCCCAGTTCCACCGCACTTGGCGGGAGAGAATAATTCAGAGTGCATGGTAGTGGGGCAGGTGGGGATCTGTGGTTGTTAACAATCACCATTACTAGTTTTTTCAGTAACCTGAAAATCTCAGCTGAATGTTGTGGCTTTCTTGATTCTCACTATGCTCCTATGAAGTGGAGAGAGAAGGTTACAGAAGGTACTTCCTGTCTCTGCAGGGTAAAAGGTTTGGTTCTAGGACCCTGTGCAGATACCCATACTGGTGTGGGTGCCCTTCATTAATGTGTCACAGCTGAAAATACACTGGGCCTGAAAAATGCTTGAAGCCTTTAGCTAAAATTAATTGCTGAGTGATGAGGATGTCATTGCAACAGGATTATCAGTTTTTAACTGAGCTGTGGCTGGATGCCACGCCTAGCATCACAAGAGTGTCCTCCTGGTGTCATTCCTTTGGGAAAGCTTAAATTCAAAATTTTGTTTCTACTGACCATCATCACTATCACATCACTGTAAAGTCAAGATTATGTCAGGCTATCTTAAGTCATGGACCACATGGGGTTCTTGAGAGAAGAGACTGGAGTCACTGGGTATAAGACTTATAGCTGCTAAGTGATAAAATTAGGACCTCATTTGTTCATTTAACAAATGAAGTTTTGGGGTCTTTTTTTTTAATTATAGCATCTTAACTTTAAAAAATATTTATTTATTTGGAAGAGTTTCAGGTTTAGGGGGAGATCTTCCATTTGCTGGTTCACTTACTAGATGGCTACAGTAGCCACTGCTGGGTCAGGCCAAAGCCAGGAGCCAGGAACTACATCTGGGCCTCCCCTGGGGGTTGCAGGATGTCAACAGTTGCATTTGCTGCTTTCCCCAGGCAGTTAGCAGAGAGCTGGATTGAAAGTAAAGCAGCCAGAACATGAACCAGCACCCCCATGGGATACTGACTTGAAGACAGCAACTTTACCCACAGTACCACAAGGCCTGAAGTATAAAGCAAGAAGAGAGCAAAGGACTATTACTGGTAATACTGAAAAACAGAATGCTTGCAATTTAAAATGCAGAGTCACAGAATGTCACACTGCAGTGATATCTGGGTCCAGATCTCAGATGTAGGGGAATAATTTATGTAGGTTCACAACGAAAACATATCAGCCACGCCAAACATTGAGTACAGACTCCTAAGACCACTGTAGCTGGGCTGATGGATCAAGTAAGAAAGCATTCAAAAAGGTAAAGTCAGAAAGAAACTGATGGGGTTTGGCAAAATCCTAACAATGATGAACCTGCCATCAAAAGCCAAATTCAGCAGTTGGCATGGTGGTATACCAAGCTAAATCCACCACTTGCTGTGTTAGCATTCCACTTGGGTGCTGATTCTAGCCCCAGTTGCTCCACTACCCATTGAGCTTCCTGGTAATGGTAGTGGAAGATGGCCCGGAGCCTTGGGTCCCTGTATCCATGGAACACCTGGAAGAAGCTTCTGGCTCTCAGTATCAAACCAGGCAAGCTCTGAATGTTGCTCCCATTTGCGGAGCGAGCCAATGGATGGAAGATTCTCTGCCTCTCCCTTTCTCTCCCTAATGCTGACTTTTAAGTTAAATGAATAATTTTTTTCTTTTTTTAAGATTTTTTTTAATTTTTATTATTTTTTTATTGGAAAGGCAGATATACAGAGAGAAGAGACAGAGAGGAAGATCTTCCCTCCAATGATTCACTCCCCAAGTGAGTGCAACGGCCAATGCTATGCCGATCCGAAGCCAGGATCCTCTTCCGGGTCTCCCACGCGGGTGCAGGGTCCCAAAGCTTTGGGCTGTCCTCGACTGCCTTCCCGGGCCACAGGCAGGGAGCTGGAAGGGAAGCGGGGCTGCTGGGATAGAACCTGCGCCCATATGGGATCCCGGGTGTGCTAGGTGAGGACCTTAACCACTGCGCCACTGCGCCGGGCCCATGAATAATTATTTTTTAAAAATTCAACAACATCCGCATTTTTTTTCCTGTTTTACCCACTAATTTATTGTCAGAAGGTCAAAGGATACCTTAACTCCTAGGACATATTCAAAAATCATTATGGGGCAGGCCTTGTGGTACTGTGGGTAAAGTTGCTGTCTTCAAGTCAGTATCCCATGGGGGTGCTGGTTCATGTTCTGGCTGCTTTACTTTCAATCCAGCTCTCTGCTAACTGCCTGGGGAAAGCAGCAAATGCAACTGTTGACATCCTGCAACCCCCAGGGGAGGCCCAGATGTAGTTCCTGGCTCCTGGCTTTGGTCTGACCCAGCAGTGGCTACTGTAGCCATCTAGTAAGTGAACCAGCAAATGGAAGATCTCCCCCTAAACCTGAAACTCTTCCAAATAAATAAATATTTTTTAAAGTTAAGATCCTATAATTAAAAAAAAAAGACCCCAAAACTTTATTTGTTAAATGAACTTCATTTGTTTCACCTTAGCATTTACTCAATACCAGCTAACATACTTACTGGTCCTGTTGATGTCTTAGGTTCACTGCTGTGTGATGTGCATGTGGAGCAGGTCCTAACACTGATGAAAACACTTGTCTTAGAATGAATTTGGAAACTGAACTCTGCTGTTTCTCTTAATGTTAAGAGAACCCCTAATGACCATGTGTCAGCTTTTTCACACACTCTCTCATTCATTGTTCTATCTAATAACCTCCCAAAATAGGGGTTCTTATTAGAGTGCAAGCATAGTTTTCTGAATCTAATGTCCTTTTCAGTACTAGTATGTACTATTTAAAAAAATAATTTTACCCATAATATTTCCATTTAAAAGAAATGAAACATTATCACAGCTGAAAGATGTTCCAAGGATGGATTCAGTATCGTGAACCGACTCAAAACATTGTGGTGTAAGATAGCTGTTGTCGTGCTTGTGGCTTCTATATTGTGGGAGTCTGGGCAGGCCAGGGCAAGCTTAGTTTGTTTCAGGCCCACTGCCATTAGGGCATCCGAAGCTGGGAGTAGCTCAACAGCATTGAGGGGTAGGGGTGTTTTCACTCACTGGCCTGGCAGTTGAAATTTTGAGCAGGAACATTTACATATGACCATCACATGGCCTGATACCTTGGTTCTAAGAACAAGTTGTCTCCAGAGAGAAAAGGAGGAAGCTGCTGATTTGTAAGACCTGGGCCTATGAATGAGCACAGCGTTACTCCTGCAATGTTCTGTTAGTGAAGGAGTCTCAGAGTTAAGACAAGAAGGACCTGGGCTGCTCCTCTTGATAGACTGTTGTAAAACTCTCCACAGGTGTGTCCATATGTCTCTTAATATAATTTCCATAAAAATTTTGTTCTGCCCTGCCTCCCCCGAGAATATTTAGTCAGTGTCATGTCTCCTGATATCCGTTTCCCTTTTTCTCCTTCGCTTTCTCCCTTTCTTTTGACCTGTGTGTCCTTTTTAAAAAATTTTGTTTTTTTAAATGATCTTACTTAGTTGATTAGGGTACAAAGGGTCAAGGGCTACAGGAAAGTGGGTAATACCATTGTTTCCATACTAATACCATTTTTTCCCCCTGTATCTGTGGTCAGGGGAGAAACAAAGGGAAAAGCCCCACCCAGCCTCCCACCTATCCCAGGTCCCCGATGTGAGGCATGCTCTGAGGGTCCTGCTCAAGCAGTTTTGATAGTTCAACAGTGACCTATGTATCTTTATTAAGTCAAGAAACATTTGTTTCCTTATTCAAGGATTTTTTTCCATTATTTATTTGAAAGGCAGTTACACAGGAAAAGAGAAATCTTGCATCTCCAGACTTTTTGAAGGTCCTTTTGGACCTCCCACATGCGTGCAGTGGCCCAAGCACTTGGAACGTCTTTTATCAGGTAG